CCGGTCCTGATACAGCATCAAGCTTTTTTCTTTTCACTGAATCCATAATATTAGTTCATTAACAAATGACTTAAAAATATAAAATTCACTTTTTTCAAGTTATAACATCTTACTTATTATAAAACGCAGATTGTGTGTGTGTGGGTGTCTGTAACGTTTATATATTGGATCGGATTTCCTACATTTTTCAACCGATTTCAACAAAACTTCACATGACTACATAAAATTACCTTGTGGTGGTTCTAACAGCGCCAAAAATGGGAAAAATATAATTGTTTTTGCACAAAATCAATTTGAAAACATGATTAAGAGACATCGTGAAAATGGAAGGGGGACAACTCACATCGGATTTCCTATATTTTTCAGCCGATAAAACAAAACTTCACTTTTTTTATTTTTGCAGGTAGTGTTTCTTATTCTCTTGCACATTTTTTTCTTTATTTTTAACAATCAGCATCAAATTTAAAAATTCCATTTACAAGACAATTATTTATAATAAAATTCCTTTTCAATTGGGAGACTCATGACGATTGAAAACAATGTTTTTGTTTGAGTTTGGGTTTGACCAATTCGTAAAAAAAAAAAAAAAAAAAAAAAAAAAAAGAACTAATTAAGACATGCGTGTCCGTCAACCTTAAACAATAATCTTTGTCAATTTTATTTTTCAGTCTTTATGATGGTCGATACTTGATCTATCTCTTACTGTTATATCCCCGGGCAACGCCGGGCTAGTCTGAAATATGCTTTAAAATGGTAAATTAATCAGATAAAAACGCATGCCAATTATTTAAAAATTAGGTTTTCGATGTTTCTGTACAGGAATTATAATTCTCTTGGTGGGGGATAATTTATATTAAAAAAATTGGTTTAGAAAAAGTGAGATTCCCAACCCTCCCTAGTTTGTTTTTGGCCACCGTTTCATCTCGACTGGGTCAGCTTTATTTCATTCCCCCATGTCCGTATATATTTTCTTTTTTTCCTCTCCCTTAGCGAGAGAGAGCCTCTTGATTCTGTTGTATGGCAGAATACAGCCCCCATTTTTTAGGGGGTTGGACGGGTCCTACATTGGTTATATTTATTTTGCTTTGTTTTGAAATTTACTTTGTTTTTGAGTTCACCCACTTCCCTCTCATTATAAATAATCCATTAAATTTTATGTATGAATTTTTATTATTATCCAATTTTTATATCACGGGTTGCGTTGTGTAGGCCCCCCACCTGAGAGGATGCGGTATTATGGTATATGAAGGATTGATTGATGACTGATGCGTTCATATGGTGAATGTGCAAATTGTAATGAGTGAATGTGTCGTGAATCGGTTTAGCTAGGTATAGGATAGTCAGTGAAGACCAGCCTCTACCCATTCCCCCTTTTCGGCCTTGTGCCATAATTGTATTTTTTACAATAAATATCGAGACCTTGGTACAGGAATTAAACTTCTCTAACAATATTAAGAATACATTTAAACTAGATAAAAAGCGTGCAACAAAACAAGTAACAATGCGAATAGAATAACAACTAAACGACTATCTTTATACCAGGGGTTTCTTATAAAAGAATGAAGCTACAAGAAGACAGAATGCATGGTCATCAGTAAAAGGATGAGCCCGAAATGCGATTTGCAGGTCGGGAACACTAGAATCAAGCAGACGAAGAAGTTTAAATATCTGGGAAGCGTTCTGACAAAGGACGGTAAGTGCGACACTGAGATCCGTAGACGTATTGGGATGGCCAAGGACACATTCTAAAAGCTGGGCAGATTATTGCAAAACAGGAGGATTTCTTTGGTAACAAAGAAAAGAATACTGAGTTGTTAGGGGACATCTGTCCTTCTTTACGGCAGCGAATGTTGGACGATTTCCTCAAAGATGCAGAAGAGACTCGAAGCGATGGAGATGTGGTTCTACAGAAGGATGCTATCGATATCATAGACTGGGCGTGTGAGCAACGATGAGGTCTTAGAGAGGTTGCAAACAAGGAGGAGGCTTATACTTAACATCAGGAAGAGACAGCTGAATTTCCTGGGGTACATAATGAGGAAGGAGTGCCTAGAGATTCTGATACTCACGGGTCGAATAGAGGGAAAGAGAGACAAGGGAAAACAACGCGTGACATACCTAACGGGCTGTGGATGACAGAACGTGGTCTGGAGGAGGTGGCAGAGGAAGGGAACTTGTTGAGAGCTGCAAGGGATAGAAGGAGGTGGAGAGCCATGATCGCCTACGTCCTGAAATGACACGACACACAGAAAGAAAAAGTGAAAGACAGTGTTCTGATAAATTGAAAAAAAAGAAATTCGTCGAAAAAGTCTATGCTTTTTCTTACCTAAAAGGAATTTAAGAAAAGTGATGAATACAGTTGACCATTGTGGTATGTAGTAGAATACATATGCTTGTTTACTGTCAGAAGAAGAAAGAGGAATGCTTGACTCAGACTACACAGACACAGTTTATTAGTCTGAGAGCGACTAGAAGACAATTTTATATTTTGATCTATCAGGTTCCTCAAATAAGGATAATTTTGAATTTATCAATAATGAACCTTATTGGTTAAAAAGAAAGAAAAGTGATTCATTAATTAACTATTATTAGTTGTAATAATGTAGTATTGTTTTATTATTCCTTTTTGTTAATTAATTCCAATCAAACAAAAAGATTCAGAAATAGCTGAAGAAAATCAATGAATCGGTTCTGGATAAAGAGTGAGGTGTAATAAGAAATATTTGCTCGTAACATGTTTAGCTAAAGAGAACACAGGATTACAGGAAAAGTTTAGTTTCGGGATGTAAATAATTTTCTATATGTTGGTTGCACTTGAAATTAAGATATTTTCGCACTGATTTGATTGTTCTGCCTTTAACGAAATCATTATTTACGAGTTTTTTTAAAAATTATAATAGAATTTTGGGATAGTGTGATCATAATCCTACACAGCAATATCAAATTTATTGAAATTTGACTATCCAAAGAAAAAGTTATTGGCGTTAAGGTTTAACCTGCCCCGAAATCCAGATACAAATAGGTGTTTCTTATATAGTGGAAATGAGTTTATTGCTAGTTAATATTTGATTGAGGTACCACAGGACTCTGGGCTACAAGAAAATACCAAGGAAGTTTATGTTTGGGGTTGTGAGGGGAGTGATTGAATTTCCTCCTGGTCCATAGCCTATTATCATATTTTTAATGTTACATCTCTTCCGTACGAAGTCAATCATATCTCCATATCTGTGAAATAATATGACTTCATGGGAAAGATAGTTGAAGAGCTTCCTGTTGCCTCAACGCTTTTAAATTCAGAGTTGTCAGTCAAAGCTAGAGAACTAATTCTACAGAGTTAATCCAATATTGGACAAAGAAGAAGAGATAGATTCCTGTGATTTTCCAAGGGCATTTGCAGACAACGCCAGAGTTTGAACTCGGCTCGCCGTTTCCACTTTTCTCGTCAATAACCGTTACACTACCCGCATATTCGCGGTTTTCTTGTTAGTCAAATGGTTTTCTTGGTCATGACAACTGAGCAGTAAGTTTTGTCTTTCCTGGGTACCCCCTAGGATAGGGATAGTGGATAGCCCAATATTCAAATTACACTTGGAGATACCAAAAACAAATACAACAATTTAAATATCTGGAAAGTGTTTTAACAGAAATCGAAAAATGTGACACCGAAATCCGAAAGCGCATTGGTATAGCGAAAGATGCCTTCCAAAAGCTAAGCAAAGTATTAAGAAACAAGAAAATTTCGTTAGAAACAAAGAACTGAACTGTTATGTAATATCAGTCCTCCTACATGGCAGTGAATGGTGGATAATCTCCGCACAGATGAGGAAGAGACTTGAAGCAACAAAAATGTGGTTCTACAGAAGGATGCTGAGAATGTCATGGACCGAACATGTGAGCAACGACGAAGTTTTAGAGAAAATAAAAACAAAATTATATTTAACATTAGACAGAAAGAGCTAGAGAGGAAATAATGAGGAAAGAAGGCTTAAAAAATCTGATACTCACAGGGCAGATTTTAGGCAAGAGTGACAGAGGAAAATAATGCATGACCTACCTAACGAGCTTGTGTAGATGGATTGTGGAACAGGGTTTAGGAGAGATAGCAAAAAGGCGGAATATATTAATAACGACAAAAGACAGGAAATTGTGGAGAGTCATGATTGCCAAAGTCCTGAAGGGACACAGCACATAGAAGAAGAGAGTTACCCATGCTTTTAACATTCTGCTACAAGTGATACTTAGTAGACAACATGAATTTTATCTTAGTGAAACACAAAGCCCAATCGAGTTAAATGGATGCCGGTGATAGATGATGATATTACGCCAGTTTTAGAAGTTTAAGCCCGCTTTAAAAACAGCATTAGGAATCGTGTTTCTTTTTATTTTTCTTTCCTTTTGATTATTTTTCTTTATTTAATAGCTGGAGATAGATTCGCCTATCGTCCGGTTCACACTCCTTCGCCTGTTTAATTATTTATTGTTTCCTATTGGGTTTCCGGTTGATTTCTAAAGTATGTTCCTTCTCTTTTATTCCCAATATTCCCCTTGCGTTTTGCTGGCATTTGCCACCTTACTTGGGTAAATTGATTAAAAAGAAAGAACTTGAACCACCGAAGGAAAATACTCAAATTTTTCAACCAGCGAGAGAATTATTCATGTATGAGGATGCTTGTAAAATAGTGACGCATTTTCCAGCTATGAATTATGAGTCAACTAACCAAAGTAGAAGCAAAGTTGATTGTCAAGAATTAGTTTATGACGTCTTCAATCCGACATTGGGTCCTTTATATTGCATTTCATTGGAGAAACTTACAATGATTGAATTTATGATTTATCTTAGCTTACGAGGTCGTAAGTATGCAAGGCCGAAGTCTATGTGATCGAACTCACTACTCAACGGTAATTGCTTTAGCAAGACAGACTTCTTAACTACGTCGAGGTACCATAATGAATGAACCATGAGCTTTCGCTTGAGAATCTAACACAAAGTTATTTCCGCTTACGGCCCTATCTCGTTCAAACACCGGTTCGCGTACGATCACCAAAGTTAAGCAACGTTGAGCCTGGTCAGTACCTAGTTGGTGACCGCTTGGGAATACCAGGTGCTGTAAGCTTGGATGTGTGTGTGGTGTTATGGATAATGATTCGGAATTGTTAATCGGAGAGATGAGTTCCAATTCCAGTTGTGGTCGTGATATTCACTTACACGCGAATACGCATGAAAAAGGTAGAAATCCACATCTTCTATCCTCAGCTATGGGTTAATTAGTAAGATTTGTATCACCAAATCATTATTATCTCCAAAAACATCTGCAAATTATTTTCTGGCTTTAAATAACCTGAAAAGAGTTGATAAGCCGTCAAAAACGAATAAATCAATCAAAATTATTTCCAAATGCATATACATTACAGTAGTGTAATCAACAGAATAAACAAATTCGAAAAATCTCTACACTCCTTGGGTTGGATAATACTGTAAATACAGTCTGAGTCAAATTTTATCATTATTGTTTTACTTTATTTCTTCATTTTATTTATTTTGATTCATTTTGAAAAATACGAAAATAACCCGATCAAAGTTTTCGTACTGTGTGCAACACCGTCTCGTTTTTTTGTTTTTGTTTTTTTTTTCAAAATGATATTTTATAGCTGGTCATAAATCCGTTAAACAGGTAAGTATTTTTAAGTGAGCAGTGGTTGTATAGACATATTAACGTGTGACAGTCATGCAGAAAGTGGAATATAAACAGGTTATGCAACATCAGTGATTTTATGTCGTGTCATAGAACAACACAACACAGTTCGCTCTTTTCTTTTCTGGCCGATAGCCTTTGAGCTATTCGAACGCAGAGCAAAGAAAAAAAAAATATCCCGAATCGTTATTAATTACGTTTTAAGGATATAGAAACAAATGTAAGTTTATTTAAATATTATTAATATAAAAAAAATGTAATCACCTTCATTTCCAACGACTACAGTGTAATAAAAAGGCACATTTTGATAGAAAAATATTTGATTTCAAATTTCATCCAGATTATTCAAATTTCATGAACTTATACGGATGCAGAAGGCGATTATCTTCCTTTTTAAGAGACCTTTGAGATTCACGTGACAGTACGTTGGTGAGAGTAGTTCAGTTGCTGCTAAGACCCCGAGGTAGACAGATGCGGTAGCCAGCGGTGGTTTGGCGAACGAGTAAATGCTAAGCGTGAACAGCATAAAACATACATCAGGGTTGTAACGCCTCTATCTTAGGGATATTCCGAATAAGTCTTTCTTTTTGTTCGTCCTTTCATATACAGCTTGCTGTTTTCATATGTGTTTTCAAATTTTCTGCGTGACACACACACACACACACACACACACACACACACACACACACACACACACACACACATATATATATATATATATATATATATATATATATATATATATAAGGAAAAGACTTAAATATTCATCATATAATCGGTTATAAATTTATTTCAACATATGGAGAAGTATGAAGTATGGAAAGCACAAACAATTTCGTAAAATCCTCATCGAAAGCACAATTATACTTCGACATGAAAACAATAGACAAAAACTAAAAATCCAATATACATCAAACAGTTGAAACCTAACCTAAACAAAATCAATTATGGAATCTCTACAAATATCCTTTAACAGAAACTATTGGTTTATACCAATGGCTTCCCATACTTCATACTTCTCCAATTCACTCTCGCGTGGTCATGTATGACGTCATGAGATGCGGTGCGATTTTCGCTTCTCGCGTCTTATATGCACGTGTTTATCGTTGCTTAGAAATGATCTATGTAAACAATGACAGACAATCATCACTGCTTAATATATATATATTAACCAATTATATATATATATATATATATATATATAAAATTCATTCGCAGATAGTACTGTCTCGCTGTATTACAGCTTCTCAGTGCGACTAGACATCCGAATGCCTCAAGTCAGGATCGAAATGATATCAGTCAGAGCCTCTACCACTGAGCTATCTTTATTCGGAAATTTGAAAAGCTAAATTTAGCGTATTGTTTTTACGAATGTAAATAAATGCCGATAATATTTATTATTATTTATTTATATCGGTCGGTATATATATTTATGCATTAAGCTCTCATCATGGATTTAACTTTTTAGTATTCTTATAATAAAAAGACCTACTTGGAATAATCCCTACAACTTATGACTTCTTGATGTTTTCGGTCTAGGGAGGCAAATCCCGGCGTGCGGCACCTTTGGAAAGTATATGAAAACCACATCACGGGTTGACCGAAGCCTTGTGAGTGAAATTGCGTATACGGAACTATTTGGGAGCGGTCAATGTTTGTGCTAGCACGAAACCATAAGTCATCGTGACCGAGGGTTTGAACGTACTGGCCTTGTTCAGAATGTTGATCATGCCAGATAAATGTGCTCTCTCCCAGAAATTGTAACCAAGTTCAGTAAAAACCACAAGTGGGAACTATGAGTGTTGAAGAAGCACAAATGTACCTGAACAGACGTGCAAAGAGGATTGGCTACTAGCCATTATATATATATATATATATATATATATATATATATATATGTGTGTGTGTGTGTGTGTGTGTGTGAAAAGTGTCTGACGATCGCTAAAGCGTGAAACCCAGGGTCACAAACTCACATCTATCCATCCAAATATATATATATATATATATATATATATATATATATATATATATATATATATATATATATATGCGGATTTCATTGAATGTGACAGACAAGGTGCTTGGATTTAGTTTTTATACAACTTCTCTTGTGATCTAATAATGTTTTTTACTTTTCGGTAGATAACTTATATAAAAACTGTCCAGTTGTTTTTTTATTTCCGAACGCTTTCGGCTATACAGTGAGCCATTTTCAAGTTTGAAATATATTAACTGTTAACAATAAATAAATTGTTGTATGTATGTATTTATATAATGTTTTCATTTTCAAAACACGGTCAAGATTTTGAGTCCATGTTCGTAGTTGATATTATTGAGTGTTAGTTTTTTTGTTTTTATTAGTAAGGCTTCCATTATTTTTAGCCTTTTTTTTTTTTGCATGTAGATGATGCTATTATATTTGTTTTGTTAACAAGTCTATTACAAGTAGGGTCCGATAGGTCTCTATGAGTATTTAAATGAGACTTAATTTAGCCATTTTTAAACCTTGAAAATGGCTAAATGTATAGCCGAAAGAACAATTGGACAATTTTTATATAATTTATCATGCGAAAAGAAAAAAAAATATATTAGATCACATGAGAAATTGTATAAAAAACTAAATCAAAGCACCTTCTCTGTCATATTCAAGGCAATGTGCATGAAAGAAGGATTAAGGATTGCTGCCTAAATACACCCATACACACGCACACAAACATGCTTTCTTGTTTGTTAATAGATTATTAATTATACTTAAGTATATTGCTCGGAGTTACTTTGATGAATATGTAAGTGTTTGTCACTGATGAAAAGTGTCACAAAATTCAGTGTCGACGAAAAATGAACTGATTAGTTAGACCTTTGTTTTTATCATGCTTCAACATATTTAGTTGTCGTGTCGTCAATGAAAGGAAATCCGCCGAAACGTAGCTCGTCCGTCTGCTTCGATGACATCAACCAAAAAGAAAAAAAAAATATGTAGAGAAAGAGAGAGATTTCTAGAGAGAGTTTTGTATGAAAGGTTTTTGTTTGCGTCTGTAATCTAGGCGAATTAAACACAAAAACAGGTTCACTGAATCAGCCCTCTGTTTCCAACCTCTACTGATTACGTAGGAAATATCAGCGTGGTGTTCGTAAGGATCAATTTGTTGTCAAAGGTTACATATATTGTGCGTTTGTTTTATTCTTCCGCATCGCGGATCGATTAGCATAATGTTCTTGTTCTATAACCACACATGCGTTCGTTGCTTTTCATTTTCTTTAGAATTGTACCAATGTAGAACCAGTCAAAAGATGAAAAGAAAACGATCAGGAGTTGGGCGGTGGTTTGGACAAGTGCAGGCCGACAAAAAGTGCAACCAGAAATCGTAAATGGAAGCACTTTGAAGAAATAAAAGTTCGGTAAATAACAAAATAAATCGACTCTCACCGCTTTTTGGAGTAAGGGTTATGTATCTGGTATACACCCGACAACAAGGTTTTATTTCCTTCTCCGTCTTTATCTTGCTCTGCCGCTTATTTGCTTCCTCTCTCTATCTCATTCTTTCTTTTTATTTCCTCTGTCTCTTCATCTTGCTTTCCTTTCCCCTGTCTGTTTTCCTTATTTCTTTTTTGCTTTCTTTCTTTCTTTTATTCCCTTCTCTCTCTCTCTCTCTCTCTTTCTCTCTCTTGCTCCCTCTTCTCTCCTCTTTCATTTTATTTTCTCCCGTCCTCATCTTGCTCTTTCTTTTTTTTTTTTAATTTTATTTCCTTTCCCCTCTTCAACGTGCTCTCCTCTTTTGTGTTTCTGTCTCTTTCTTTTTATTTCTTTCTCAGTCCACATCTTGCTCTCCTCCTCCTTTTCCACCTTTCACTTTTTCTTTCTTTTTCTCTTTTCTCTTCATCTTCTTACTCTCTCACTCTCTCTCTCTCTCTCTCTCTCGTCCATCTTATTTCTTTCTTTTATAATGAATCCATTGTCTCCAATGTCTTAATAAATTATCATTTGCTCTGTTATTACATTGAGCTCTCTGGATTTATATCCTTCTTGGAATTATCCATACGGATTACCAATTAACTTATTCATTGTTTGAAACCGCCTGGTCTGAAGAAGCGAAATCGAAGTCTCAATGTTGCGAAATAAAACATTACCATGACTTTCAGAAGTCTCCGATTTTTTCATTAATTGTATATATATATATATATATATATATATATATATATATATATTATATATAGTCATCCACAGACAGACTGTTTCGCATCCGCTTGCCCCATGCCTGGATCGAAACCCAACTGATTTGGTATCCCTAAGCTACTGGTGCACGGCAGTGACGAAGGCGAATTTTACATATTTATTTATAAATTTATAACCAGAGAACTCGATTTTCTTTAACGAAGAGTCTGGATATCAGCAGCTAGGGTAATAGTTTCACTGTTTAC